CCATCTTTCTCTCTCTCTCTCGCTCGCTCCATCCCAGAATTAACCGGATCAACGCAAGATATCGCGACGCGTTTTAACACGCGAGCGAGCGAGCGAGCGAGCGAGCGTTCTGACCCGTTCGTTCACTCTTTATAAATAGACGCTTTAAATTCTGTCGCTGCTGGGCGTGGCCCCGACAGATCTACGAGGATCCTAGACGCGGAATAGATCACTCGTCGCGATCCATTCATTAGAAGAGCCCCGACCCTCCCTTCTTCCCGTCCCTGTTTCTTTTCCTCCATTCCAACGCCTCTCCAAAATCTTAAATAAATAAATATATGTGTGTGTATATACGCGTCTGTCCAAATTACTTCGCGTTCGACGAACGAGATTATTTCGAAAGGAGACGATATATATATATATATATATATATATATTATGTGTTACGCGTGGAATAATTCTCGAGGTTGGTGGAAATTTTAGGAAGGAGACCGGGCGTAAATCGTCCGTAGATTTTGCCGATGTTATACGTAAATCAAGGGGGATTCTCGGCGCGAGCGGAGCGTGCAATTTACATGGAGGGCTGCGCCTAGGCGCGCGTTACGACTGTGTTTTATCGTCGACGTGAAATTCGTGTCGTGTTCTTTGTTTTTTTTTTTTTTTTTTTTTTTTTATGGACGAAATTTAGGACAGTTTCACTGTTCGACACGAAAAGTTATTCGAAAGAAAAAAAAAAAAATATTCGCACATTTTCGTTACATTGATATTGATAACGTTGATATTGATCTGTCGCGTTTTGTTTTGCAGATATTCGGGGCACGGCAACACGAACCGTACCTGTCATGTCGGTTCCTATTTAAGGTAAGCATTATCATCTTATTTTATTTCTCTCTCCCTTTCTCTCTTCCACCAATTTTATTTAAATTTTTCTTCGAGATTATTACTCGATATTGATATCGATTTTGGTTAGAGTTATCGCATAGATGATAAGAGTGAGTTCTGATACAGGATAATGGATGAAATCCTTTTTTAAAAATTCGTTGGAAAAATTCTTGGATTCCGTTCGAACGATGTGTCGAAAACATTCTTCAAACCATGCACCTCCGAATTTTCTTCAAATATATATATATAAGTCGTTGCGCTTAGCTGTCTCGTTTCGAAATAGAATTTAATCCAATGTAATCTGGCGATAACGCTTATCGTCCGATCTTAATTACGGATTACGTCACGTCGGCGTTTTGCGGCGAGCGTAAAATCCATCGAGCGGCAATATCGATCCGAGCGTTTATCGAAGTGGGCCGGTTCTGTGTCGACGCGACGGAGTGACTTCTCCCCGAGAGAAGAAGAAGAAGAAAGAAAAAGAAAAAGAAGAAAGGAAAAGAAAAGAGAACGGAAAGAGAAGGAGAAAAATAGATGGACGCGTGTCGTCCTCCCGTAAAAGGCATCCAAGGAGAGAGACTCGTCGCGAGGCGGCCGGCTCGTCGTTCGTCGGATATTTGCGCGATGAGAGTATCGACGCCTCGTTAAATAAATACCGAACGTTTGCGTTCGTTCGGGCAGAGGCGGAAATACGCCACTTGGATCGAGTTGTCGACGTCGATAATTACGCGAAATCGAACGGTTGGAAAATATCGTTCTCGAGAGGCGAGAAGTGAGGAGAAAGTTGGAATAAAGGGAGGGGCAGGGGAGGGGGGACTAAGTTTGATGGTTTCACTTTTTTAAGCGTTTGACAACGGGCGATTAAACGTTGGCAAATTGTCGCGAGTAACGCCACTTTCTCTTATAGCGTTTCTTCCACGACTCTTAATTGCGTTCGTATATATATATATATATATATATAT